CTGCTCACAGACTATGTTTGTGAGAACAGCCATAGGGTTTTGAAATCTGAGAAAAATGAAGCAAATATGAAAGTATTATCAAGGATGGGGTAAAAATTTGTGAAGGACAAGTTCCAGAAAGGGCTACCTGTTAAATTCTCATCGAAAAATTTTGAAATTTAGGCATTTGCATGCACATATACACGTAATATCCTTCTGAATGGAAAGGAATAGGTGTGTCATCTCTGAATTAAGAGCTGATTTAGTGGCTTGGTTTTTCATAGACAGTTTAAATATCGAAATGCTCTGCAGTGGAATTTACTAAGTGGTGTAAAGGAGAAGCTCTAAACAGAAATTTTGCAGTGATATCAATAGTTAGGCATGAAGGGTTTCATGCTGAGGATGTATCAGAGGAGTGTGGAAAGGATGTGCTAGTGACTGACAGAATGCAGGAAGCCAATAGCAGGACATACAACAGAGAGGGTCTTTAATGAAATTCAGGTAGTTCTTAGAGTAAGTGTGAAGTTAAAGTTGGGTTCTGATTGTTTCCTTGAGGTGATCAACACCAGCTCTGGCAAAAATCAGTATTTCACATCCTTGTCAACCCACGAATTTTGTGTTCCATACTTGAGATCTAATTTTGATTATCTCTAATTATGCCCCAGTGTCATGAAGGTAAAATGTGGATTTTTTTTGTACCAAGGATCAAACTCATAACCTATGCATTCCAGGCAGGTGTTCATGCTACTGAGCTAAATAGCCAACTATGAAAGTGTTTTCTTTGTTGTATGGAAGATATCCACATTGTTTCTCAGAAAGTGTTGAATATTGTTGGAATTTTCCCATATTGTATGGCTATAATTTTTAAAACCAAACCACAGGTGTCTTATGCAGTCTCTTTTCAAGTTTCACTTTGTCTGTGGGGTGTCACAGTCAGGGCTTCTCTATGTTAGACAGCTCTGTAACATAGGATAGCCCCAAATTCAAGGAAGAAGTCCTTCACCAGCCTCACAGGACATATTTCTTATAAGTGAATTGAAAGTGAATGCTTGGTGACAGTGAGCTATACATTACAGCTTGGGCCTCGTTCCATTTTATATACTTACTTTTTAAAAACAGCATTTTTCACTAACATTTGAGTTATTATTTGTGTACCATATTGGATGTTATTTATGTTTTGTTCTATGAAACCAAATTCATGTTTCAAAATGCTGCTGAAGTATATTAAGAACAAAGTATTCACTGGCCTAAATGAGATTTGAAGAGACATTATCTGTAGCCTATCAAAGTGATTGATGAGATTTTTTTTCTTTTTTTAAATTTTGAATGTGGTAAAATACAACAGAACAAGGCAGAATAAGGCCAACTGAGATCATACAGTGAAAATGGTACACAACTTCACAACTGGTTATTGCGATAACAGTAATACGTATCACAGTATATTTTATTATCTTTATAATAGTTGTTCTTTTTTTTTGTCTTTTTCCTTTTTATTAGTACTGGGGATCGAGCCCACGACTGTCTGCTTGCAAGGCAGGTGCTTATGCCGCTGAGCTAAATCCCCAGCCCCAATAGTTGTTCTTTCAAACACGTATATCAAAATGAGATGAAATACCGAACATTATAGTACTTATCAAAACAGAATATTGAATAGAGCAATACCATTAATCAGAAAAGAGCAAAACAGAAATAAAAATATTCACCTTCAAAGAGATAGTAGAAGGAAGTCCCCCTTATTTTTTATGGTCTGCTTCCCAAGAGACACTCAGATTTCTGGTTCCCATTTGCTAATGTGGGTTGACAGGAGAAGAGGGGTAGGGAAGTGGGATGTTTGATTCTAGGCCGTGCATCAGTAGGTTCAGTGTTGCTTACTAGGGAGACAGGCTGGTTGTTTGGTTTCACAGTATCCTAAGTTCCAACATAGTGTGGATCTCAGGAGGTGCTGCTGGTTCTCTCCCTGGAAGGGCCGCATTCTGCCAGACCTCCACTACTTACCAGGGAGAAGTGGTGCTTGCTGGCCTTCCAAGTGTCCTAAATTCCAGCATGGTATGGATCTCAGGAGCTGCTGCTGGTTTGCCCCCTGGATGGGCCATAGTCCTCCACACTGCCACCACTTACCAGGGAAGACAGGTGCTTGCTTGGCTTCCCAGTTGATTGAGGGGATATTTTTCTGCCTCTGTGCTTTGTGGATGCTGGTCCTGCAGGCTTCTCACTGTGAGCTCTGCATTAGAGACAGTACACAGGGAATATTGCAGTGACTCAGCAAAAGAATCAGTGCTCCTGTTTCACTGTTACATTAGCAGTGAGTTGCAATCTATCATCAAATTTGCTGTCTTCAATAATGTGTATATACACAAAATTAATGACCAAGACTTATATTTAAATTTGCAGAAATCAGTCTTCATTCATCTGTTTAGTTTGGTTGTATTTGTTTAGTTTTGTTTTGTTTTATTGAGACAAGCTTTCTATATGTATATCAGCTAGATTTGAACACCCTATGGAGCCTGGAATTGCCCTGAACTCACTGAAACCATCCTGCCTCAGCCTTTTGAGTGCTGGCATTATAGATATATACCACCACACTTTGCTTTTGATTCAGATTTGTAGGAGAGAATTTAAGATATCCCAAACCTGGTGTCTCAACCTTCATGTGAGAAATATATGTATGATCCTTTAGGAGGTGGTGAACTTTGAGGATGTGGTCGTGAACTTCAGCAATGAGGAGTGGACTTTGCTGAGTCCATCCCAAAAGAACCTCTACAGAGATGTGATGGGCGAAACCTGTAGGAACATGACTGCAATAGGTAATGACAAAATACTTTTGTCACTCATGCTGTCAGAATGTTGTATGTCGCTGTTTCATTAAAAACAATGTGAAAATATTTTTAAAAATAGCTCAGACCTGGACAGATTATATCATAACTCTAAACAAAATCTACTAATTTGTATGTATTATTCTAATGAGCACTGGTATTTCTATGTCTACAATTCAGGAGGACTTGGGGATATCCAGGAAGCTGAAAAAGAATGCAAAATTTACTGGAGATACTTAAGGTAATTCCCACTCATAAGGAGAACAAATGTTCCTGAGTAATTAGTGAGTCAGCAGAAAAATACCGCCAAAGAAATGAGGCAACATTCAATTTATTGTCAGTAATATTCTCTGAAGACGTATAAGCTAGGGTATGTATAATGAGTGGATTAAATCAAGAAAATGTATGACATTGCATATAGATGTGTATGAAAGGCATACAATTTGAGTTAAGACATTCTCTCTTCAGTTTTTCTACCCATATATACATGTGAATACAACACATTCATCATCTAAAAATTGCTAAGATTGCAATAGAATTTGAAATAAAATGGAGTTCTTGTGTTTCCAAGCCATGCTCTAAAGAATCAGCCATTCCGACTAAAATTCTTAGAAGGCTGGTAGAATGGTAAGTGCACTCATTCTGAATATCAGTGTGCAGTTGTCTCTAGAAATTGATCCCCTCATACTTGTCCTGGATATATTTTTAAAAATTCAAAATGCACATAACTGATACATGCTTACTCATATACAAAGCAGATCAAGTTATAATAGATCAGGCCTTGAAGAGGCTTAGCTATATATCACTGGATTTGTGGAGAAGGAAAATGTTAATAGACTCTTTGTGATTGTGCATTCTTGTAAATCCAGCACACTAGGAGTCAGATTTTGCAGAGTTGCACATTCAAGTTCAAACATCACAGCTTAATGATCAGTGAAATTCTCTTAAAACATATTTAAAAAGCTATAGATTTTATGCTAATAGCTGTTGTTCATTCCCAGCATGGAAACGAAAAAAAATGTGTTATATAATGTCAAAAAATAAAGAATATAATGTCATTTGCCATAAGAAATAGGTGGTTCTTTCTCCCATCAATTCAGTGAAATAGCTCAGCTATGAAACCTAAAAGTTCACAGGGTTACTCTTAGATGAGAAACCAAAATATAAATTGTGGAATGAAATGAAAGAGTTACTAGAGAAAAATAAGACTGACCATATGGAAAAGGGAACTACAGGTTAAGGACAGAAGGGAGATTGTGATGGGGAAACATATCATAATGATCTGTATGTGATACACATATGTACCCATGCCAAAAGTGAAGATAAAGATTCTGCATTTCAAAAGGTATCAAATTTTAAGATTTCCAAATGTGTACCAGTCTTTTGGGAATGGTTGTTTTCAACATATCTTACAAGGCCATTGTGTTGCTTCATGGTCAGAATTTCTTAGCAGGCATTAAAAATAGAACTTGACATTAATGCAGTCATTAAACTGAGACCCATTTCACTGTGAATGTTTCTTTTTTTATTTAATGTAAGGAAAGACTAAAAAACACAAAATAAGTAGAAATGATACCGCTTTCAATGTGAAAATAAACAGTAAGAAATCTAAAGACAGTGATTACATATGCTGCTCCTAGAAATAGTTAATGAAATACAAAATGAAACATGTGATGTGGGGATTCAAACAGCAAGACTACAAACAATTTTGTTCAAGTCTCCAATAAAAACTTACTAATATGGTTATCAATCCGATATGCGATTTTTTTTTTTTTTTTTTACAGAAATGACAAGGTAGGGAAATCCTATGGACGTACATCTTGGAATCAGTGTAGAGAAGTATTCCTTTGTACTGCAGAAGGTAATGTGAATGTGAAAGAAGCAGAAACACACCACAATGTTCAGATCCATGAAAAATATGGCACTAGGGAGAAATCCTATGTATGTCAGCAATGTGGAAAAGGGTTCACCAAATCTCGACATTGTAAGCAACATGAAAGAATTCACACTGGAGTGAAACCATATGTATGTAAGAAATGTGGGAAAGCTTTTAACACATGGACAAATTGTAAAATACATGAAAGAATTCACACTGGAGAGAAACCCTATGTATGTAAGCAGTGTGGGAAAGGTTTCACACAACATGGAACTTGTAAGCAACATGAAAGAATTCACACTGGCGAGAAACCATATGTATGTAAGCAATGTGGGAAAGCTTTTACCCGACATCGACTTTGTAAGCAACATGAAAGAATTCACACTGGAGAGAAACCATATGTATGTAAGCAATGTGGGAAAGGTTTCACACAACATGGAACTTGTAAGCAACATGAAAGAATTCACACTGGTGAGAAACCATATGTATGTAAGCAATGTGGGAAAGCTTTTACCCGACATGGACTTTGTAAGCAACATGAAAGAATTCACACTGGAGAGAAACCATATGTATGTAAGCAATGTGGGAAAGCTTTTAACACATGGGGAATTTTTAAGAATCATGAAAGAATTCACACTGGAGAGAAACCCTATGTATGTAAGCAATGTGGGAAAGGTTTTACCCGACGTGAAAATTGTAAGCAACATGAAAGTATTCACACTGAAGGGAAACCATATTTATGTGAGCAATGTGGGAAAGCTTTTAACACACGTGCGCATTGTAAGGTTCATGAAAGAATTCACACTGGAGAGAAACCATATGTATGTAAGCAATGTGGGAAAGCTTTTAACACATGGACAAATTGTAAAATACATGAAAGAATTCACACTGGAGAGAAACCCTATGTATGTAAGCAATGTGGGAAAGCTTTTAACACATGGGGAGATTTTAAGAAACATGAAAGAATTCACACTGGAGAGAAACCCTATGCATGTAAGGAATGTGGGAAAGCTTTTAGCACACAGGGAAATTGTAAAATGCATGAAAGAATTCACACTGGAGAGAAACCCTATGTATGTAAGCAATGTGGGAAAGCTTTTAACACACGGGCAAACTGTAAAATACATGAAAGAATTCACACTGGAGAGAAACCCTATGTATGTAAGCAATGTGGGAAAGCTTTTACCCAACATGGACATTGTAAGCAACATGAAAGTTCACACTCAAGGTAGAACTAGTGCATATAAGCATCATGAGAATTTTTTGAGCACAAGTACATATTGCATAATGAATGAAAAACTTCACACTGGGCATAAAACTTATAAATGTAATGAATGTGGGAAAGGTTTCAGCAGAAATGCTCATTGTCCAATACATGAAAAAATTTACAATGTTGAGAAACCCTGTTTATGTGAAGAATGTGGGAAAGCTTTCACCACACATGGATTTTGTAAAATACATCAATGACTCCACTCTGGTGAGAAAACCTATGTATATAACAATGTGGCAAAGCTTTTACCACATACAGTCATTGCAAAACACATAAAAGAATTCACACTGGGAAGAACCACTGGCTATGTAAGCAAGTGGAGACACTTTCAGCAGCCAGATTGTAAGTGAAATACATGAAGAAGCTCACACAAGAGATAAATCCTATGTGTTATGAAAATACTCTCAACACACATGATCATTTTTACATATCTGAAAAAGTTCACTTTATCCTATGTGCATTAACAATGTGAGAAATATGGCAATCCATGTTTGTTGTTAAACACATAGAAAAAGCAGCACTCTTCAGACAGTTTAAATCTAAGTTTACTTTAAAAATTCCAAGTAGACCTGAAGAAATAATCAATACATAAGTTTGATATCAATATTTCTTCAGAAATGACAAATCTGAAGTGGAGCTCTACTCAAGTACATATTTTGTATGGTTTTCAGTTAATCACTTATACCTCTTTAGATTTTTTAAAGTGTCTTTGTGCTTCAACATGGCATCTTGTAATTAAACATGGTAAACTGAAATGGGCTTTTCACTTTCAAGTATGGATAGTGTCTATGTACTTAATATTTTGTCTTTAAATCTTAATTTTTTATATTTTTGGTGAATTATTTTTATTTAAAGAAAAAAACCAAAAAGTGTAGAAATAATACAGAAGTTCTGAAAAATAAACAGTAAGAAATCACTAGTTGATTGGTTAAATATTATCATCTTAGAAGTAATTGTCAAAGTTGCAAAATTAAAGCATGCAAAGTGATATTCAAATAATGACAATGCAAACAGTTCACCTCAGTGATCCAACAAAAACTTATTAATATGCTTATCTGTTCTACAAACTTGTTTTTTTATCTTAAAGATGGTAAGATTAAATATGACAAAACAGAACAGTTCATAAGGAAACAATTTAAGGAAACACAGGTTTCAAAGCAAGTCCACTGAGATGTTCATTTTCTATGTTACTGTCTCTAGTTTTCTTCAAAATAGTTGTTCCCATCTTCACAAGCATTGAATATATACCTAACATTATAGAACTAATCAAATAAATACAGGATGATAAAGGCTTTTTTGATCTTCAAGACTGATTTTGGGGAAGTTGATAATGATTACCATAATGTGTCTCATTCTCTTCATAGTAGATGTCTTTATTTTTATGTATGCTAAAATTGAACATAAGAGACTAAACTGATATCACTCTGAACAGTGAATAATAGTATCCTGAGAAGGAGAAAGGTGAGGAATTGCCTAAATAAAGAAGGCAGAGCACATTGTTAAAAGTGTATCAGGATTTGAAAGCTACAGTAGTTCTGTTGCTCTGTTTAGTTTGATTATATTTTGTTCTGGTCTATCTACTCATACTAGATTTGAGGGTACAGAGAGATAACCTAAAATGGCAGGTTATACCATGGTGGTAATTGTCCTTAATTTCCTATTAACTAAAACTGAAATCCTGTATTACTTACATTGTCTTACTATGACTGATCTTATTTTAAGCTGGTTTGTTTGAATGTTATTTGGCCTTGACTGATTTTATTCACATTTGGTATGATTGCTGGTATCAAGTCCAAGAGTAGAGGCAACTAGTCTGAAGATGATAAGATGTGAAAGATATATATTGGGGGGCTGGGGATTTAGCTCAGTGGCTTAAGCCCCTGCCTGGCAAGTGTGAGGTTGTCAGTTTGATCCCCAGTACCAAAAAATAAATAAATAAAAGATATAAATTCCAGGTTTAATTTTTTTTTATTTAAGGAGAAAAAAAAGAACATAAAAAAGCAAAGCAGTAAAGGGGGACAAATCATACAGAATTTCAGTTATAAAATACAGTAAGAAATCACCAGTTAATAGGTTACATATTGTCTTCTTAGAAACAGTTGTCCAAATTATAAAAATTAAAGCATATAAACTGAACATTCCTACAGGGAGACTGCAGACAATTCTGTTCAATGATCCAACAAAAGCTCAGTAATATGGTTTTCCTTCCTACACACTCAAACAGGCACTTACTTCCCTTAGACCACCTTCCTTTCCTCTCTTCTTCACAATAACAATTACACTTTTGGGTTTTTTTAACTCCCATAGTTCTTATTACTTTTTTTGAAGAGAACAAAATCTCAAGTGAGTTAAGAAAACAGAGTTGGTTAGAACATAAGGATGGGCATAGTACTTGATGCAAAAATAGAATATCAGGTGATCAAAAATGGTTACCACTGTGCCTCTTACTATTTTTAAAAAGTTCCCTATATCATCAGGTATAATAGAATTGATTAAAACAGTACAGAACAAGACCAATAAAATCTTCACTGGAAACCTTACAGAATTTCAAAAGAAGATAATAGTCAAACCATAATGGGCATCATAGTAAATCTTATTGCCTACAAAGTGGTTGCCTATACTCTCAAACTTGATACTATCAAACAAAATAGAATATAGTAAAATCAGACAGAACAAGATGGGGAGAGCAATACTGGGGTTAAAATCAGGTTAATAGGAAAACAAATAAAGTTACTATAATATATCCCACTATTTTTTAATTTAGTTTTCCTTTAATTGAAAAAAAAATAGAATAAATTTTTTTAAACGGTGGAGATCGAGATAAAAGAGACATTGTAATAGAACAACACAGGTCAGAACTGAACAATTAAAGCATCATTTGGTTTCACCACCAGGTAATCTAACATAATAGTAGTCACCATTGTGCCTCTTTCCTTGAATTATTTGAGTATAACTTCTTATACTATAGAATCAATCACATCAAGACAGTGTGAAGCCATTCAATACAATGAAAGAATTACAGGGTATTTAGAGCCAGTTAACAGAAAATGAACAACGATTTCTATATTATCTCTTTGGCTGTAAAAAATTGTTTTATATTATCACAGTAAAATATATTAAGATACAACATGTTAAATCCAGTGGAAACATGTACAACAACTTGATGGGAGTTCCAAAGGAGATGATATTAAATCAGCACTAGCTTTTATGATGTGTTATTTTCTTCAGAACAGCTATTTTCGGTACTAAAATCAAAAAACCCAGGGTAAAACCATTGCACTTAATGAGTGAAAACATTATATGGATTCAAACCAATATGATTGGGTATCATGATTACCACATAGTTCTCTGTATTATCATTTCTTATACTAGGGAATATATTTGGTATTTATACATGTGAGTTTGATTTATTTCACTTATGAGTATGGTCTCAGTCTGTGTCCATTTATTTATATGTCAATGTGATCATTCTTTATAGCTTAGTAGTTCCCCATTGTATAAAAACACCATAATTTTTTATCCATTCCTCAGTTGATGGACACTTAGGTTGTTTCCAAGATCTGGCTATTACAAACTGTGCTGCTATAAAAATGGGTGTACATATATCACTGTGGAATGATACTTTCAGTTCTTCTGTGAATATGCCTAGAAGTAGAATAGCTGGGTCAAAAGGTGCTTCCAGTTCCAGCTTTCTGAGAAATCTCCAGACTGAGCTCCACAATGGTTGTACCAGTCTACACTCCCACCAAAAGTGCAGGAGAGTTCCTTTGTCCCAACAGCATCTCCAACATTTGTTGTTGGTGGTTTTCTTGATCTTGGCCATTCTTTCAGGAGTGAGATGAAATCTCATTGTGGTTTTAATTTGCATTTCTCTAATGACAATTGATGGTGAACATTTTTTCATGTATTTATTTGTCATTTGTATTTCTTCATCTCAAAATTGTTTATTCATCTCACATGCTCATTTTTGGATTGGGTCTTTGAATTTTGGTGATCTCCTTTTTTAAAATGCTTTATATGTTGTAGACAGAAGTCCTCTGTCTGAGGGGCAGTTCACTAAGATTTTTTCCCAGTTTGTGGATTTTCTTTTCACTATACTGGAGATTTCATTTGATGTGCAGAAACTTTTGAATAAGAGGTGATCCCAATTATTGATTCTGGGAAGCATTTCCCATGCAGTTTGAGTCCTGTTCATCAATTCTCTACCTACTCCTATGCCTTCAAGGTTTTTACCCAATTTGTCTTCCAATAAATTTAGTGTTTCTGTTTTAATATTTAGATCTTTGGTTCGTTTAGATTTTATTTTAGAACATGGTGATAGGCATGGGTCTAGTTTTAGTTTTAGGCATATGGAGAGCCAGTTTTTCACCACCATTTATTAAAGAGAATGTCATTCTTCCAGTGAACATATTTGGCCCCTTTATCCTAATAAGGTACTCGAGTGTGTTTGTAGTTGTGGTTGTATCTTCTCATCTATTCCACTGATCTTTGGCTCTGTTTTGTTTCCAGTACCATGTTGATTTTACTACAGTTGCTTTGTAGTATAACTTCAAATCAGGGATTGTTGTACCTCCTGCCTTGATTTTGCTGCTTCTAACTCTCCTTGCTATTCTAGGTTTCTTCTAATTCCAGATGAATTTTAGGGGTGATTTCTCAAGTTCTATGAAGTATGTTGATGGTATTTTTATCGGGATTGCATTGCATCTGTATAAAAGTTTTGGGAGAATGGCCATTTTCAAATTATTGATTCTTCCTATCCATG